TCTACTAATGAATTTGTAATTTTATTCTTTAATTTGAGTGGCACATAATTCGATTTAGTTTTTGTTGAATGAAAATATTTTGTTATTGTACTTTCATTGTGTTCATCAAGTACATTAGGAATTTTACGACAACATTCAATATGCTTTTGCATACCACCAGTATCAGTTTGTGCTTTGTAAGATATGAGTGATTGATACGAGTCACAAATAACATAATCTTGTTTCATTTTCTGAAAATAAATGGTACTGAAATATGTCCAAACGTTGGACATGTTGTCCTTCTGTTTCTGTTTTTGAAAAGTTACAGAAGAATCATTATTTGAAATTAATTTTAACAAGTTCTCTTTGGAGGTACTTTTTTCAGTAACGGTTGAACTTTCCATTGAATTCTAAAGTCAAATATATTTTGTTGTATCTGATCGTAATTTCTTTTTCTTTTTCACGTCAACAAACAGGGGTCAATATCTTGTAACTTTCACCAATAGAAACAATTTATTCAATATCCTATATGTATAATGCATATGTGCATGGGTCATCGAAAGATATCGCACAAATACAAAGACTAACATTTCCATGACTCACGGTCACGGTCACGATGGTTACGATCGTGACCGTGTCCGTGACTAAACTCGTCGTGACTGTGAGTGACCGTGACCAAAAAAAAAGTGGTCACGCCGACGTCTAATCGTGTCATATGTTAGAATCTCCAGAAGAGCACTTCAATTCTATTGTGCCACATTTCTCTTTATTAACAGTTTTTGTTGTATACTCGACTGAGCCTAGTGAATATCGAGTTTCCTCGGTAGTCTTTTTTCAAGACAACTGCAATTAACATCTATTAGCTTGGCGCATAAGTTCTGCACGTTTTTGTTTTTTCGTCCAACAACAAATTTATTTTTCAACAAAGATGTTCTCTTTTCGTTATATATGTATTTCTTTCGTTCTTCTGTTTTCTTTCATCTCACTACTATACATTTATTTTTGTTCTCTCAAGGTCAAACAAGCATCGATATTGACCTTGATCTTTCCTGCTTACTGCGTAATAATATTCCTATTGCGTATTTTGTACTTTGTGAGACTCTGATCGTTATATAAATACACATATTCTCTTCTATTCTGTTGTTATCTTGTTTCGAATTAATTGGATGAACAAAAAATTCATATTCGGCACTGTATGCTCTACGAGTTCGATCGACGCTCAACAGCAGCCGAAGCAGCAAGGAATATTTGTGATACATATGGAGAGAAAGCCATCGATAGTTCCACTTGTTGCCGTTGGTTTTCCAAGTTCCGTTCCGAAGGTACCACCTTGACGAATAAACCTGGATCCGGGCGACCACAGTGAAGCGTTGCAAGCTTTGCTCGACGCTGATCCACGCCAAACAACACGCGAATTAGCCGAACAACTCAACTGCCACCACTCGACAGTGGAGCGTCACCTTCATGCTCTCGACAAGGTTCATAAATACGGAAGTTGGTCTTCACACCAATTGTCCATAGACAACTTGGCTCAGCGAGCATCGATTTGTGCTTCACTGCTTTCCCGACAGAAGCACACCTCATTTTTAGAACGAATTATTACTGGAGATGAAAAATGGGTGTGTTATGCCAACGTCTATCGTAGAAGGCAGTGGCTTGCTCCTGATCAAAAACCATTGCCGGATGTGAAACCCGACTTGCATCCGAAGTAGAGTCCTGCAACGGGGTCGGGTACCCGGCACCCGACCGAACCCGAAACTGTGGTCCGGGTACAAATTTGCCGGGTCGGTTCGGGTGCCGGGTATAAAAAAAAATGCCGGGTCGGGTGCAGGATTTGAGCATACCCGGTACCCGACCGGTAGTCGATGACATCTTAACAAGTAAAAGTATTTTACACTCTAGGATAGAGTCCTGCAACGGGGCCGGATACCCGGCACCCGATCGGACCCGGAACTGTGGTCCGGGTACAAATTGTTACTTGATGAAATTAAAATAATAGTATATTTTGCCATATGAAATAAAAGTTTGAAAAGTGAATATAATTTTGACAATAACAATCAAGTGCTGACTATTTCAAGGCTGGGCCGGGTCCGGTCGGGTACCGGGTAGAGCTATCCGGGTCCGGTTCGGTTCCGGGTGGAAGATGACCGGGTCCGGTCGGATTCCGGGTTTGAAAAAAATGAGCCGGGCCGGGTCCGGGTGCGAAAAGTAGTACCCGTGCAGGACTCTAATCCGAAGAAGATAATTCTTTGCATTTGGTGGGATATGAGCGGTGTCATCTATTTCGAATTATTAGATATCAATGAAGCGATTATCACCGATGTTTACTCTCAACAATTGCAGCGATTGAATGAAGTTCTACTTCAAAAGCGACCCAATTTGGCGAATCAAAAAGACGTCATCCTTCTTCATGACAACAATCGACCTCATGGGGCAGAAGTTGACTCAGCAAAAAATCGAACAGTTAGGATGGGAAGTTCTTCTACACCCGCCGTGATCGCCGGGCCTCTCATCAACCAATTATCATCTGTTCCTATCTCTTCGTAACTATTTATGAAATAAACACTATGAAGACTTCGATGAACTAAAATCCGACCTGACTGCCTATTTCGAATCAAAACTGGCTAGTTTCTACAGACGTGGAATTGAACTATTGCCAGAAAGATGGGCGAATGTTGTTGAAAACAATGGCGATTATATTGCTGATTGATGTTTGCATATCTTTGTTGAAAAATAAATTTACTGTTGAACCAAAAAACAAAAACGTGCAGAACTTATGCGTCAACCGGATACTTAAGAGACTCATAATCACGCCAAAGTCGAAGAGAGATGTAGAATGTATAAGACTTTATAAAGAACTTCGGGAAGGAAATGAAAAAATAGAGCGCATTTGTTAGTAATTAAGAAGAGTATAGATGTGAGTAAGTATGAAAAAAAAGACAATTTTCGCAGCCCACATTCACACCCTTATATGATGCATATACACAAAATAATTCAAAAAACATCTGAATACTAATTAGTATATATATATGATTAAGACAAAAATTAGGTAATTATCTAAAATTATTTAATCAATATAGAGAATTCGGTTATAACGAAGGCTTGAGAAAGAGAAAAGAGTACTTACTTTTGTTTGAATGATTTTTTTTTTGACAAGAATTGCATTCTAAGATAATTTGATCAGCTTGCGGATTCAAGATCGAACTGTCCTAGAAAATTACCACTTTCGTCAAAAATTAGATGAATTCAATCAAATTTCTTGTCAAAAGGTGTTGTCTTGGATCATTTTAAATCTATTAATTATAGTGTTTTGGACTTACTGAAATCTTTGTTCGTAAAAAAGGTTCGACAACATACAGATGAGAGTCAAGTGAATCCTTTTGATACATGTTCATTATTGTTTGTAGATTCTTAAACTTTTTGAATTTTCATACACTGGATACAGGTGCAAGTAAAAAGAAAAGGTTCATCCACATCCAACTAAGAAAACATTTAATATCATTTTATAGCATAATGACAACATCTTCATTTATTTCTCATAAAAAAGACATGTTACCATAAATAAACATACTACTTTGATCATTATACACAAGAAATCGAATAAATATGTTAAATTCATCCCTAATTGCAGTCACTTAGTAATCCATGATAAAAAAAATCAATATAAACGATATTCATTTATTTAGAAAATTATTCACATTATTTCGTTGACTTTCCTTTACCCTTATGTTTCAATATATTTCGATGCTTTTTAATTTTATAGAAAAAAAAATAATATCAAGTGTTTGAAATATATCCAATTTTGAAAATTTTTTTATAAAAGAGTAGTTATTTTTTTAATGCGATTTTTACTCATGAGAATTCACTAATAACTGTGATTAATCTTTGAAGGATAACAAAGATTCATTCATTAATTTAAAAAACAAAACCTATTTAAAAATTAATTCCTAATATTCCATAGATATTTGTTTTCGAATAAAATATTTAAAAAAAGCTAATTTTTAAATTATATGTCATACTTTAAGTCAAAGGATATTTTTTTAAAAACAATTAGTATAGGTTTAAGTAAATCAAGTCGAGTTATAAGGTATCATCTAACAATGAAGTTAAATGTAAGTGTAAATTTTTTCTTCTCTTGCGATTTTATTTCTGTTCAGATTCGTTCATGAATATTTACTTTGTAGTAATGTGATTATAAATAATTACTTCAGCTAATAGTTTTTTCTATAATTAACAATTTCATGGATGTAAGTTGGATAATTTTTTTTGACACATCAACTATCTTTAGTTTCTATTTTAGTGAGCAGATTAGTTATAGTAACTATAAAATTGGTCAATCTGATTAAATGTCGTCGGGATTGAAGGATCTGAATCTTTCATTGATTTCTCAACATGACTTTGTAATGACAATTTCCTTCTTAGAAGTAATACTGTACAGTATGAATAGCTTGGTACTATCTATCTTCAATGCAAGAGAGAAAATGTCCAATCTTCGATTGCTTTCATTTCTTTTACGTTATCTATATATGTAATGTTCAGCGTGTCTGTGCCGCGTTAAGGGTTAATGGTCAAATAAGGCTATCAGAGGAGGGCGCCAAAGGCTATTATATGGATGTACCATAGGTCCTCATAGACTATTCTATGGAAATATCCATAGATCCTCATGAGCTATTATATGAGAGCACCCATGGATCCTCAAGGGTCGTCCTATAGAGTATCCATACGCCTTGAAGGATGTAAGACAATAAAGGGATAAGGCTACTAGTGATACTAGGGACATAAGGCTATAAGGGCGTAAGGCTTCGATCTATATACATAATATCGTGTATCTGTATATCTGTTATCGAATGAAAAGTTAAACGTCGCATGGATTCTCACTAGTGAGAAAATAATTTCAAGTTAGGGTGTAAATGTCTCTATTAATGTATGTAAATTAAAAGACGATGTTCATATCCTACACTCACAACTATTACGTTGTAAAGTCCTCGCAAACTCTTAAATTATATCATAGTCTGAGACCTGTTCCATACACATATACTACTAACAACTCAGTCCAAAATAAAAAAAAAATAGAAAACAAAATATTAATATAAAAAAGAAGCTAAATGTCAAATCTACCTCATTCGAAATCTTTATTTAATTTTTACTTTATCTTCTGTAATGTGTAGAGTGTTTTTAGAATTTCATCAATTCATAATATTATTATTTTTATGAAAGTCTTGTTAGTAAAATAGTATTCATAGGTCAT